GCACGCATGCCAGAAGTGGCACACAGAGCCATTTCTGTCGGCAAGCAAGAGGTTGCCCATAAGAGCCCCACTGCACATGCGTGCGTGCCCGCCAGCCAGTGGATTGCACGGCATGCATGCACGGGGGAGACACTCTCACAGGAGACGTACATGCATGCACAGGGAGCACATGAGGGATCGCACGGGCATGCACAGAAACACACAGCACGAGGGGTTACGTGCACATGCGCAAAGGCACACAGTGCATGCACAGAGAGTCATGCGTACATTGCATCATGGGTGCAGGCATGCGACATGGAAAAGTTTAGCCATCATTGTTCTAAGGCATGATATCGTTTAAATGATGGCATCAAGTTTGTGAGAATCACTTCAAAGTGAAGTGTGCCTTACTTTAGTTTGGTATTAGATAAAGCTGCATTCCAAGTTGAATTGTTTAAATGAATTGTTTTATTTGTGCAGTAAGATAACAGATTCTAATAAGGTTTTCTTTTTTTCCCTTTCTTTCTTTTTTGTATACAATTATCTGGACATGCTGCCAAAGAGCAACATATATTAGAAGAGGAAGGGAAGAGAGCTGGTTTTAGTTTGACAGTGGAGCCGCAATATAGCTATAGCAGTAGTACTTTTCAAACTGTTATTCAACTCTCACATCAGTACAGAATCGTTCAGATATCAAGATGGATTTACACAAAAAGGTAATTCATATACATGCCTACTCTTTCTGGTTTCTCCTACGGCCTCAAACCTACTCAGGCTTTTCAAGGATTAAAGTTTACCTAGACTTCACTGTAAAGAAAGAAAAGGATTACTTTTTTATCCTATTATTGTGATGGGTGTGAGTAATTTTACCCTGAAAGTGCTTTGCAAATATTCACAGTGGGCATTTGAGGATCTCCACAATAACCCATGGGATCAAATTAAAGGAACCCCTTAAGCACTCACGACAGTTTTACTGGACTGCGCAGTGCCAATGCAATAGCATGGAAAAATATTTCTTCTTTATATTGACAGAGAAATAAGCTAAGCTCTTAAGCTGTTTCCTCACACTTGTCTGGAGTTTTCTCCCATCTGCATTCTGACTATTATCTTACTAAAGGTATTCCTCCACTTATGACCACAACTGGGGGCAGAATTTCTGTTGTTCAGTGGGTCAAGCCCAATGTTATCTCCTTTTTCATATGGTGGTTAAGCAAATCACTATAATTGTTAAGTAAAACATGCAGTCATTAAGCCAATTCAGTTTCCCCCACTAACTTTGCTTATCAAAAACCAAGTGAGAGGCTGCAAATAGTGATCACATGACCCCAGGATATTGCAACAGTTGTAAATACACGCCAGTTGCCAAGCACCCAAATTCTGATCATGTGACTGCAAGGAATGTTGCAATGGTCGTGAGTGCAAGGACCAGTCATAAGTCACTTTTTTTCAGTGCCATTATAAATTCAAACGTTGCTGAACAACTGGTAGTACTTTGAGGAGTATCTTATATTACATCACCACACACCCCAACCTCTTGCTATATAGAAGAGCCAAATAAATTCTAATTAGTGACAATAATTGCATCAAACTGATATATTACTCTGAGTCATTTCTGAATTCCATAATGAAATCAGGACTGTTGGGAGAATCAGATATGCAGACAGGGAACTTTCAAAGTATTCTTATACCCAGGATCCATTAAGGGATCCATCTTTTTAGACCATTATGCTCTTATGAAGGAGCACTGCAATAATAAATCCACGTTTCATTAATATTTTATAACCAGAACATGAGACTGGATACAAAATCCTTTGCACCATTGATGTCCTATGTTACTGTGCCACCCCCCCCCCAAAAAAATGTATTGGTTAATTAAGTGACAAACATAAGAATTTAGAGATGCACCAGAAAAAGAGTAGCTTAAGTTATTACTTTATGACTGTCACAAAGCTATTGTCTGAATGCTATATTTGTATACCTGTGCAGGTGTGTACCTCCAACATTTTTCCTGGTATTATGCATGTGCACATGCACACAAAGAAAATCAGGGACAACATTCAAAGCAGCCATATGCTTTGTTTTAATACTTCAAAGAGAAATGTTTCATTCATATAATACACCTTGTAAGACATCTCTTTTGTACATTTTTCATAGCCCTATTCAATAGTATAATAATAGCATACAGTCACGAGCACAGTCTGTTTTGCTCATTAAGTAAGATGCTTGGTATATGAGAGCTGTAAATATTTAAAAATCAATAGGAAGACATACTTGAATAGCCTGATTTCTGCATTTTTCTCCTTTTCCTCTAATACAGGCTGTTTCTTAGTTTTGTTTGCTTAATAGAATTTTCCCCCAAATATTTTGTTTGCTTATTCACCCTTAGGTTGCCAAGTGCAAAGTTTCTCTTTTTAAAAAGCCATACAGTTATAAATGAGAAAATTTTCTTGTAAACAATAGTGCAAAGTACAGTATATAAACTTATTTATGTTAATAGAGTTAGTAAAATAGAGATATATGCATTACATAATAAATATTTATTATAATGTTTTAAAGCACTTTGTTCCTATGTCTATTTTTAAAGGAACTTTCTGATCTTAAGGAAGCATAGCACCTTCTGGCTGATCATTAAAAAAACTGATCTTTTTCAGACTTCTATGAAAGCCTGAAAAAAAAAGATGCCACTGGTTTAAGAAATCAGGCAAGTCTTAAAACAGTACCTTTTTTTTCAGGCCTGCCCAGCAGCCTAACAGAGATTGGACTCTTTAATGAATAGCCAAGAGGTGTGATGCCTGTAGTCATCAGGGCCTCCGACTGTTTTCAAAGAATGTGCAGTGCTATTGGATAGAACAATTCGATGCTAAATATACACCAAAAGAATCTAATGAAAGTAGGGACAGAAGCCCATTAATACCTTGAGTTTAATTACTGCTTCTTTAGTTTGATTCTCTCTATTCACATAACAAGCAATGAACCTTTAGAGGCATTATCACTTTTCTATTGGGTTATACATCTTTTCTCCTGAAATTGTCACCTAAAAAGTAGCTGGAAGTGCATTTACTGCACTTCCCTCCCTCCCTCTTATATTTCTAACATAAATTCATAGTACAAGAACTAAGAAAATGTTACTATACCATGACACCTTATGCATATTTAAACATAGCCAGATAAGCTGTCATTAACTTCAAATGGTAATCTGAATTCACTACATAAAACATGATGTGTATGTTAAGAGGCAACTGAAAATACCATGGAACAGAATGAGGAAAAAAATTGAATCAAATCTGACCATAAACAAAAGCGGGGGGGGGGGGATTAATAGAGTAAAGTACAGTAACATTAACTGGTAAATTTACTAACCTTAGATTCAAACTGTGATTTACACAAGGACATGATTACATTCAGAACTGTCTTCACTGAAGAACTACCTAAGGGGTAACTGTACTAAAAGTAAATCAGTATTCCCATTCTGATATTCTCCAAAAATTGGAATGGAAGGCTAATATTTCTACATATGTGGAATATTGTGGAAAATAAGTAATAAGTAAATCCGTAAATCTAGAAAACTATAGAAATCTAGAAAACTATATAAAATTATTTTTAGTTTATAATTTTTCAAAAGAAACTGCTAACCATATCACTGCAATCAAATAAAAGAATATATATTAAAAGCAAGGTAATTAAAAGCAAGGTAGTACACTGTTTCTTCCAAATAAAAAGGCCAAAATTAAAAACAGGTAGACAGATTACATAAATATGCATTACACATTTAAAAGAAGCAAATGCATTCAGTTTGGTTAATTTACCAAAACATTATTCATCTATGTATCCTATTATTAATTAGCTAACTTAAAACTGTCATTTTGGCAAGAAACATTATTCAAAAATAAAAAAAGAATTCCACTGTATTCTCTTCCGAGGAGCATACAAAATAAATTTCTATTTTCAAAGTAGAGTAGCAAAATAAAATTGTACTTCAACGAACATGAGACACTGTACTTAATTGTTAACTAATGTAATCTGAAGAACAATGCTATTGTGGTGGAAGAAAAATTAGGATGAAATGAAATAAAGAAATTGTATAGCTATGAAATATATATATATTACATACACTCATCATAGTTATTTACTTAAATACACAAATTGGTAAAATGAATAATTGACTTTTGGACTTAATTTTTTAAAAAAGCAAAAGGCAACTGGACTTTCTGGTTATTCTTTAAAGATGTTTCACTTCTCATCTAAGAAGCTTCTTCAGCTCTGATTTCTTTGAAAAAAAATTGCAAAATGAAACATCTTCAAAGAAAAACCTGAAAGTCCAGTTACCTCTTTGGGATAACCGTGGCCTGGATGACTAAGAATCTCCATAGACACTGAGGGATAAGAAAGTAGATTAATATAGGTAAAGAAAGAAGAGATCACCATGGGCTACTTGCTTAAGTATTGATTCCAGTTCTGCTTTAGAGAATCCAAAAATAGCTTTAAAAATCACTATCAATTGCCATACTGATTCCTAATTCATCTTTTCCTCACTTCTATACAATAGAGAGATAATCTTATAGAATTTTTGAAAGCAACTCCTTCCAACTGGCGAATGACTGCTGGAAAGTATCCAGGTGTCTTTGGGGAGGCAACAGGTGTATTCCGAGGACACAACTGTTCCCAAATATAAATATGTCTGGTTGGGCCCATTCTTAAACATGTTCAAGTTCTAATTAGTTTTTATCATTGAATTCTGGGTAAAACTTGAAGGGAATAGGAATCCAATTATACTATTATGGCTCATATGTCAAATTTGGGGAATAATTTATGTTTTTCTATATTTTCTTATATAATTTATTTGACAATAAGATATAATGTTTGGCAGCTGGTTATATTGTAAAAGTCTCAATTCACTAGATAAGATGTACATATACCTATTATATGGAATACAACATTAGCTATTCTTTTATTTTTTTATATTAAATGAAATTTACTCCTTATCATTATGTGTAACTCCTCCTAACAAGAAAAACTCATACCTTGATCATCCTAGAAAGGTCTCCAGCATCTGCTAATTCGAGCACAATGTTTAGTTCATTGTCTTCAATAAATGATGCATAATATTTGATCACATTGGGGTGGTTCAATTGCTAGGAAAACAAAATTATTTCAGTCTACAGACTACTATTCACAAATACAATAAACAAGTAGTAAAAATGATAACATATATGCTCTGCCATTTAAATCTCCCCAAGTGGGAAAATAACTTTTCTTATTTTATAATTAAAACATCATTTTCATATTCATTATTTCCATACTTGCCAGGTTTAAAAACACTTGAAGAACCCCAAGTTACAAGTCAGTGCAATCCTTGTTAAGAGAGCCAAAGTAAACCAAACTCTTTTCAGGATCTTTTCCTTTTTTATTATAAAAGAGGAATCTATTTCTATTTTGTTTTTAAATTTTAATTATATTTATAGTACTTATTACAATATATAAAATGTATTTTGTTTTAAATATATAATACAATTATAATAAAAATAAATATGTTTTATTTATAGAGCCAGTTTAGCATAGTGGTTAAAGGCACTGGGAGAGTGAGTTTTAGCCTTGCTTTAGGCACAAAGCCAGTTCATGAATTTGGGCCGATCATTTTCTCTCAGACCTCACAAGAATGGCAAACTATTTTTGAAAGCCTTTAAGAAACCAGCAGGGATTTGTTCAAGTAGTCACTAGGATTCAAGATCTGCATATACAATAGAATAAAAATAACTGCTTATGACAATTAGGAAATAGGTTTTCTCTATGTTGAAACCTGCTCTGTGCACGGATCTATACTCTGCCAATGCCCAATGTTTTTTTGTAAAAATTCCACTTTTTTTCCTGACAGTGGCTGATTCCAATACCAACTCTAGCGAATGTTTTCAATGGTAGCATCGTATTAAAACAATACATAAAATAATTTAAAACCTAAAAATGTTAGTTTTTCTAGTGAAAAGTTTGAGGTATCATTTCAAGCATGCTGCAGAAGAAACTTTTGAAAAGATAAAGTTATGGACAGGTTAATGTACATGTGTACAGACAGTCTTTGATTTTATGACTGTAATTATGGACATGTCATGCTGATTGTTAAGTGAGTTATCGCAGGACTATACCCAATTTTATGACCTTTTTTGCAGTGGTTTGTTATACAGATGTGGCAGTCATAAAGCAAAAACCATAGTCATTAAGCACATCCATTATCTGAAAATTTGCATATTTTTTTTTGCTGAAAACTGAAATGTGGGGGGGGGGGTTTTGCAAAAAACAAAACAAAACACGGTAAATACATGACCATGGGACGCTGCAAATACAGTAATCAAAAATGTGGTCAGTTGCAAAATGTGATCATATGACCATGGGGAAGTGACCTAGCCACCAAGATTTCAATGAGCCATGAGTAGCCTGGGGGAAGTGTGCCAAAATTTTGCAAGGTCGCTAAACGACCAGATATAAGTTAAGGTCTATCTGTATTAATAAAAAAATATAATAAAAATATAATTATATATGTAAATATAATAACTAAAACATAGGTTACATATCTAATTTTTTAAAATCAGATGTTATTATAAACATTTTTTAAACAAGCAACAGCTATTTCCCTCTAGCAAACACTAACTGCTATTAGACAGATTTTAGAAACATTTTAAAAATAAAGCAAAATGGAAACCTATTACTTTACAAGCTTTGACAACAAAAAATACAGTAATTGGTCCAAGTGTAATACAATATATATATTCTCTGTTATGCATTTTGCTTTTTGTGAATATGTTTATATTCCTTTACGCCTTTATCACCACCCATATAACAAATATATTTCAAAGTAAGGGAAGGCGGTAGAAAAAGGTAGCATGTTAAAAAAAAATAAGAACTCTATAACCCATGGCTAAACAACTGATCTTATTTAAAATTACAGGTAACAAAATAAATTTTAAGTTATATTTTAATTTAAAATATAGCATATAATCTATTACCCTGTGGAGTTGAGACCCCCCCAATTTATAAAATGTGTATGTTTAAATTAATTTCTAGATAAGAGCCAAATTAGTCTATAGAGAAAAGTAACAAAAATTCATATTAAATCTCTGGATTAAAGGTTGGATCAATTTATTATTTGGTAAAGTTCTTAAACTATGGCTCACTTCATCATATATATCTGTTGTAGGGTAAGAGGCAAGACGTATTTAGTCACAGTTTTAAGTAACTGGAAGACTTTTGGTGCTTTTTCATGATTCATTCTCCTTCCCCAAGGAAGGAAGTCACTAGGCCAGATATAGTCTGCTTCAAATTCCACAGATGAATGTGAATCTGACATAAAATTTTAATTCAAACTGACCTATTCAGTGAAGCTCTAAGCTAAGATAGCTTGCTATTCACATGTAATAAAATGCCCAAAATTACCTATATCCGATAACTCATTGCTTCTTTTGTTATCAAAATTGTAATGCCAGAATATATCCATTCCAGAAAAGAAAAGAAAATTACCTTAAGGAGATCAATTTCCTTAATACAGTCAGCACGTGCCTTTGCATCCATTAAATCAAATATCTTTTAAAGAAAATAAAGGGAAAAAATTACAAAGTGATAATACATTTATAAGAAATATGTGTTCAATGCTTTCTCGTTAACTGAAAACATGCAAGATAAGAGCAACCCATTGAATCAAGAACAAATTCTCATGTAGTGAGCCATGAGATATACATTACACAAATTAAATTAAAGCCTCATGGAAGTGCAAGATATAAATTCGTGAGACAGCACAAATCTTTGCAGCACCTCAGCATGAACTGCTGTTCCAGCTCTGCCTCTTTCACAGCAGGAGGGGTGAATAATTCTGCCCAGCATTTCTGAATCAATGGATCATTCAACCACTGTGATGCAGCAAAAACACGTGTTCTTAAAGGAAAATCCTGGAGTCAGTGCTCTATGATCTCTTCCCATTCATGAGAGATGTTCAGAAACTCACATTACATTCTATCACAAAAATTTCTATACACTGTCAGTGTAAACTCTCCAAAATCATTAAGGGAAGTGCCTTGAATTTTAATTCAAAAAATGAGCATATTTCATTGCCTGACATTTCAGAAACACAGAAACACTGTCAAGTACAAATTATGAAATGTGACATTCATGTTCTAAAAGCATTTGGGATTATTAAATAGTGACATAATTCTGCGGCTGGTTTTCAATGATCCTATTTCATGTAAGGAAATTTTTTAAGATTGACTTTAAAGGCCTCACTTGGTGGCTCTTGTAAATAAGAGTCAAAGGCAGCAGTGGCATCTACAGTCTTTGGGCAACAACAAGAAACACATGATAATGACGCCAAGTGGAAAAAGTCAATTCTCATACATCTGTATGGAGTCATAATTTTTCTACTTCTTGGGTTTGTTTTTAAACTACATTAAGACTACTTAGTGCCTATACTGCTTTTTATGTATTTTTATCCAAAATCACAGAAATTATGCTGCCAGTTGCTTCAACTGCTGACAGGGCTCTAAGGGCAAATTATCCATTCCTGGTCTAAAACTAACTTCCATGATAATGATTAGAAATGTATTTTTTATATAAATGTGAAGCAAGCAGGAAAAAAAAACTAGAAATGTTGGAGGAAAAGCAAAATATGCAACTCGTTTTCAACATTATTCCTTTAGTTATTAACTACATTGGTTTGTTCATAAGAATATGTTCACTTTAAAAATTAAAAAGCACTCTTTGCTCAGATAATAATTGTAAACCTACTGTTTGAATTTACTTTGAGTATTTTTAATTTTTGTTATAAAGGAACTATAGCTTATTTTAAAAATATCATTTTGTTTTTCCTATTTTAGGAAAAGCAAGCAGACAAAAATATGTTAAAAACATCAGAAAACAACATCACATTAAAACAAAGAGACATATTTTTTAAGAAATACAGGGAGCACTAATTGATAGAGGTGGATTAAACCAAAGCTTAAAATACTCATTTTACCACATGAAGCACTATTTTAATTTCTGACTCTATTATTTTCTACTTCTTTCATAAAATATATCTATACAATATTAAGAAGAATCTTAATAACCTTTCTCTTGTTAATTTGATTTAGTGTGAAAATTCCAAATATAGACCTACTTTCTTCTCATCTTAATTACTTCATAAGTATTTAAAAAAAATAGGACATATTCATAATATTTTTTAATCTGACAGAACAAACAAAAAAGACCCTGTAGCTTTTTTTAAAAAAAAATCCAAATATTTCCTTTTTTCCCCATTGCTTTAATCAAGAATCTAGAAAGCCAAACATTTTCATAATTAGTTTCGGCATAGGAACATCTAATTCATTTTACTATTTTGGTGTATGCATAAATTATAATAATGCACAGAGCATTTACTGATATAAGGATCCTTAAGTTCTTTTAAAAAATAGCAATGATAAATTTAGTGTTCCCCTTACATCGTAATTTTTCTTGACCAAGATTCTTGTCAGGTTCCAACAATCAAGAAAGATACATAGTTACACTTCCAAGCAGATTTGTTAATTGTTCCACACCTATAAAAAGAATCTTGTCAAACTAAAGCAGACTATTATCTACAGGAAGCATATTCTGGGAACTACTGGGGAGGGTTATCTTCACTCTCTTTCCACCCACAAAACTACGTAAAGAATTCTCTCTTCTTCCTCTGGAATGCACCCCTCCATCCTGGGAATCCAGACTACATTCCAGCACATATTCCTCCTTAGCCATAAGTAATCAAGGACAATATTATTCCAACTGTTCTCTCCTTCTGACTCCATTCCCACTTCTTCTACCCTTAACAAGTGTACGTTTTATTTCATTTTCTAACTGTTACAAGATCAGGAACACCATGTGTACAGATTCAATCCTTAAAACTAAAGGAGTAAAACAGAAAGAATACAAGTTCAAAAGACAAGAGTAACCGCATTCAGTACTGAGCAATCATTAACTTTTGGGGTAACAAACCTATCCACATATTTTAAGCTTTAATGTATTGCTTCTTATATATTTTTTTTAAATACCGTGTTTCTCACAAAATAAGGCCGGGCCTTATTTTTTTTTGACCCCCGAAAAAACGGCTAGGCGATCTTTTGGGGGGGTGACTTAATTTCCTCCCCCACCTAGAGCGGCCCATACGCACATATCTTGCTGCAAGGCCGCCTCTATCGGACAATGAAAGCTCCCTGAAGGCAGAGTCCCCAGCTGCTTCAGGGCATGGCGTGGCTGCTTGTGTCCCCTTGCCATTAGGCAGTGTCTTTCAGGCTATGGAAGCGCCCCAAGTGCAGTCACCAGCCACTTCGATCGGCCGATAGTAGCGGCCTCAGGGCGAGCGCACACACACACACTCCTCTCGCCACGAGGCCACTTCTATCGGCCGACAAAAGCTCCCTGAAGGCAGAGTCCCCAGCTGCTTCGGGGAGTGGCTGCCTGTGTCCCCTCGCCTTTAGGCAGTCTCTTTCAGGTGATGGAAGCTCCCCAAGTGCAGTCACCAGCCACTTCGATCGGTCGATAGAAGCGGCCTCGCGGTGAGGGGAGTGTGTGTGCGCGCTCACCCCAAGGCCGCTTCTATCGGCCAATCAAAGTGGCTGGTGACTGCACTTGGGGAGCTTCCATTGCTCGAAAGAGACTGCCTAAAGGCGAGGGGACACGGGCAGCCACGCCACGCCCTGAAGCGGCTGGGGACTCTGCCTTCAGGGAGCTTCTATTGGCTGATGTTCTATTGGTAGATCAGGGTATTCTAGCCTAGGCTACCTGCAGGGCACTCCTAAAGGCAAGTTTTCTCCCCCCCCACCCTTCTCCCCCATTTCTCTTCACCTCGTGTAGTTCTAACGAATGATGTGAGAAATGGCAGGGAAACGCATGGTTTAAATAGGCCTAAATTTTGGGGGTGGGGCTTAATTTCACCTCATGCCTAGAAATCATGCTGGGCCTTCCTATTGGTGGAGGCCGCATTGTTGGAGAAACACGGTATCTTTATTAGGTTTCCAAAACAAATATTTAAATGCAAACTAACATGAAAGGAAAAGGAGAATGGGTTAGGAGAATGTGATTTACAGGTTAGTTAAACAGTGATGGAAAAAATACATCATATTCTTTATATTGTAAACTATTTTAAGAATGCTCCAGCATAGGGTACACACACAAACACACACACAATACCGGCGTTTTTTTTTAAATACCTTTCACCTCATAACAATACATTAAAATGTCAATAAGAATGTTCTTTTTAATTTCCAGAAATCTTAAACAAATTGTATTTCAGAAATAGGAAATTTCTGATTATTGAAAAGGCATTAGGGTGATGTAGGACTCAGAATCAACTTTCAATATTCAACTGTCATCTTTATTTTTTCCCTTGCATAGCCTGATGCATCTAACAGAAAATATTATAAATATATTTTAAGCCATTTTAACTATTAAAAAATAACAAGTTTTGATTTTAATTTCTCACCTTCATACATTACAAATTCCATGATGATAGAAAACACCACCTCTAATTTGGAAGTTATGACTCAGGAAGGAGACTGAGTAATTTTGCAGTACAATAGTAGGATATATCAGCCGAATGGAATGTGAAAATTAAAGCTTGACAAATGGAAAGGGGGAGTATGTTCAGGGTTTTTTTTTTTTAATGCAAACTGAAAAGGAGGTTAATATAAATGAAAACCATATAAGTATAGATGTAAGCTTCAGGTTTACAAGTGAGCACATATAGTACCTGTAGTTACTGTAGGCCTTTGGACAAGAATGCAAACTATTTTGCCTTAGAACACTTTGGCACCAAAATTCTAAGATTTGGCACATATAGCCAGCTTTCAAAGATTTGACTGCCTCTGAGAAGATCTAATGGACACACATCGCTATTATTTCCCAAGGAAAAATCTCTAAGTTGTTGAGCTATGCTTTATCTTTAGCATTTCACATCTGATTCTCACACTTTCAAATCTATTTGTGCACAATTTTCTCTCTAGCTTCTTGGTCCATCACTTTAAAAAAATGGCGAATCAGATTTGTTCGAATAAACTCAATGAAGACTGAATGGGAGGGATCATGCAAGATAAGCTTCCAAAAGCTTTTTGAAGTTGAAATTTTATTTTCTCTGTTAGGCAACTTCTGAACAGCCCCAATGATAAGCTAAATAATAAAAGGTATGAAGTTCATTACAACTCTCAGTACCCTCTGGCAGGAAAATGCCATTAATGAGATATAAAACTACTCTCTTCTACCCCATGGTCTTGAACAGTTACTCTCATTCTTCTTTTGTTAAAAAAACAGCAGTGGCAAACTCTAATTCATTTTGAATTAGTATCCATAACGTAATAACATAAAGGAATGACATCCAAATAATCCATTGACAATCATAATAGTCCAAAGAATCAAAGAAAGTTAGAAAGAAACAGTTATCTGCTTTGCAATGTTAAATAATGTTTAATTGGTTAATGTTTAATTATGTCAAATACTAAAGTAAAATAGATATTTGATTATCATCTATTAATACATGATTTCTAAGAGGTCCTGAATTTACTCCAGTGTCTTCTCACTTTCAAAAC